GCTTGTAGTGAGCGGACTGCACTCCAGCCTGGTGACAGAGCGAGACTCCGTCTCAAAAAAAAAAAAAGATTATCATTCTGTATTTTTACAGTAGCCTTTTCTATGTTTCAATGTTTACATGCATTGTGTTGCAACTGTGTTGCAACTGCAGACAATACTCAGCATGGTGACATGCTGTTCAGGTTTGTAGCTTAGGAGCAACAGGCTATACCACGGCTGTAAAGCATGACTGTATCACTTTACAGAATCATGCATGGATCTAAGACCCAGTCAAAGTGAGACAGATCCATGGATTTTAACGTAACAAAGTATGAAAAGTTCACTGATACCATTTCAGATTCTACACTGTAACTAGCCTTTTCAAAATCATGCCTTGTTTTGCATAGCCAATACCCACAATTATCTGAGAAAACTACTGAAAAACTTCATCCTTTTCCAGCCATATGTGTAAGGCTGGATTTTCTGCATTATTCAATCAAAACAACTATCACAGTAGATTGGAGACACAGATACGAAAATCCAGCTGTCTTCTATTAAGCCAGACACTAAAGAGATCTAAAAAACAATGCCACTCTTCTCACTAATATGTTTTAAACAGTAGCATTTTTAAATGAAAACATTAAGTGAACTTATGCTAACCATAACTTAGGTCAGAAATGCTGTTTGTGTTAACTAACTTATGTTAGCATAAAGTTAATGTAAATTGTAACATAACTTATGTAAAAATGTTATTCATGTTAGTAATGGGCTTATTCCTTCTAAATGAATATTTGTTTCTAATATGATAAATATTAAAATATAGGCTGAGCGCAGTGGTTCAAGCCTGTAATCCCAGCACTTTGGGAGGCTGAGGCAGGAGGATCGCTTGAGCCCAGGAGTTCAAGACCAGCCTGGGCAATATAGTGAGACCCCCATCTCTAAACAAAATTTAAAAATAAAAAATCGAATATTGAAATACATATATATCCCCTTTTTCTAACTGAAGATTCCAAAGAGCTTTTTCAAGTACATAAAGAAATCCTGAGCCCAAAAACTCTGAGCACTGCTGGTCTAGAGAAGCATTAGGGTCCAGCTTATCTATGAGGGCTCCGAAGGACAAGGTCCTTTGTATTGTAAGGCCTAAAAGAAACTAGTACTCTCAGTATTTGTTCCCAATTCTGCCAGAAGAGAAGGTAAGAAGTAAAAGGCATTAAAGGAAAACCTTTTATCTGCAATCTACTGACTTTTGGTGATTTACCAAAGCACCTGATCTCAGGCTAAAATCCAGACATTATGATCAGACAATTCCAAGGTCATAGAAGGAATCTAGTGAGAAAGATTCTAAATCTAACTAAATTAGGAATCTAGTGAGAAAGATTCTAAATCTAACTCCAAATTATGAGTATCAGATAGATTCTGAAGTTAAGGCTTCATCTAGATATAGATTTTCAGCAAGTAACAACTTGCTATTCACACATATTAATTTCTGTATCTGGTTATGTATTCTCTCTGTCCCCTTCTTCCTTCCTCTTTCCTCTACCCGTCCTTTCAATGTTGGTGTTCTTCTGAGTTCAGATTTCTCACTCTGCCTGGCACACAGTGAGCACTCAACAAGTGGCAGCTGCCATTATTACCTCTCTCCCAGAACCATCCCTTCCATGTCATGGCTTCAACCACCTCCTATATTCTCAACTCTATCATCACCCAGGCCTCTCTTGTGAGCTCCAGATCTACAAAATGAACTCCTGGGCCTTTCTACCTGGATGTGCTGCTGCATCACCACCCACATGGTCACTGAAATCAGAAACCTACAATCATTCTACACTGCTCCTTGTCCCATTCTCCTACCTCTATTCTGCCACCAGGTTTTGTCAACACTACCATGGTTAAATCTCTCTAAACCCTCTCCATTTCCACTAGAGCAACCATAAAGCCTTCATCATCTCTAGCCTAGGCCACTATAATAGCTTTCCATTGGCTCCCTGCCTCCAATCTAAAATTCTTCCTATTCAACCAACATACTGACACTACAGTAATCTTAAACCCAAATCTGACATTATTTTTCTGCTAATTGTCTTTCTGTGGTTTTCCTGGAACATACTCTTTACTTGATTTTACTCATGTATCCCTAAAAGAATTTTTTTTTTTTTTTTTTTTTTGAGACGGAGTCTCACTCTGTCCCCAGACTGGAGTGCAGTGGCATGATCTCAGCTCACTGCAAGCTCCACCTCCCAGGTTCACGCCATTCTCCTGCCTCAGCCTCCCGAGTAGCTGGGACTACAGGCGCTCGCCACCAAGCCTGGCTAATTTTTTGTATTTTTTAGTAGAGACGGGTTTTCACTGTGTTAGCCAGGATGGTCTCGATCTCCAGACCTCGTGATCCGCCTGCCTCGGCCTCCCAAAGTGCTAGGATTACAGGCGTGAGCCACCGCGCCCAGCCCCTAAAAGAATTTTTAAAACCATGTGTTCCTTACATATGAGGTAACATCTAGACCAGACACAGTGGTTCACTCCTGTAATCCCAGCACTTTGGGAAGCTGAGGCAGGAGGATCACCTGGGCCCAGGAATTTGAGACCAGCATAGGCAACATAGTGAGACACCTATCACTACTAAACATTTTTAAAAATTAGCCAGGTGGGTGGCGTATGGCTATAGTCTCAGCTACTCAGGAGGGTGAGACAGGAGGATTGTTTGAATCCAGGAGTTGGAGTTTACAGTGAGCTATGATCACACCATGGCACTCCAGCCTGGATAACCTCCTGGGCTCAATACATCCTGCCACCTCAGCCTACAAACAGCTGGGACTACAGGAGCATGCCACCATGCTTGTCTAATTTTTATATTGTTTTTTGTAGAGAAGAGGTTTCACCATGTTGCCCAGGCTGGTCTCGAATTCCTGGGCTCAAGCAATTAGCCTGCCTAGGCCTCCCAAAGTGTTGGATTTACAGGTGTGACCCAACACACTCGGTCTTAAAAATAGTTATTAACTATCTTACTGAGTAACACACACTTAAACTAAATCTCTTTAAAAATTTTACAAGTTTTACCCAAAATAACTTAAAAACCCCATTGTCCCAAAAGACATTCCCATTACATTTAACTACTGTGTTCTTTTCAGAATATCCTAACAAGGAACACGCTTTACACTAATGGGATTGTGTATTGGGAAGCCTTCCGTGTTAGGAGGTAACTTAAATCACTAAAGGAGGTGTTCCTGAAAATAAGTATTTCCAAAGTATTCTTTGTTTGTATCTGAGGACATTTTTACACTCAGGTCAATACACCATAGTAAAATTTAGGAAGTGTGAGGGATTTGCCACACACAGCCTCCTCCCCTTTTTTTGTAAGGGCAGTTGTAGAAAAAGAGTTCACTGGGGCCGGGCACAGTGGCTCACGCCTGTAATCCCAACACTTTGGGAGGCTGAGGCGGGTGGATCACGAGGTCAAGAGTTTGAGACCAGCCTGGCTAAGATGGTGAAACCCCATCTCTACTAAAAAATACAAAAAACTAACCGGGCGTGGCAGCGTGCGCCTCTAATCCCAGCTACTCGGGAGAATGAGGCAGGAGAATCGCCTGAACCCGGGAGGTGGAGGTTGCAGAGAGCCAAGATCGCACCATTGCACTCCAACCTAGGCGACAGAGCAAGACTGTCTCAAAAAAAAAAAAAAGAGTTCATTGGGAAGCTGACGATCTGGAAACGTATTCATCTAAAGCTAGATGAGCAAGTGTATCCTTTGGGAGTCTAGGGCCCTAATTACTTCACCTTGAAAACCACTGCTCCAGGAATGTAGTTCTAACTCAGTAAAACATCCAAGGCCCTTTGTGATCTAACCCCTACTAACTTCCCTCTTCCTGGATGGCTCCCTCCAAATCTAGCTCAGGTCTGTCAAACTGTTTCCAGTTCTCTTTTCAGGACTTGCTGTATCTTTCCTAAATCCACTGTGTATATGGAATGTCCTCCCACCTCTTTACTCCCAGAAAACACTTGATAATTTTTCAAGGATTGATTCAGTCCAATGAATAAGTAGCTGCTAACTTTCTGAGCACAAAGTGAGTGGTTTAAATGCAAACAGTGTCTCAGTACTCAGTGCAAGAAACGGAAGAATGGGATGGAACACTATCCCAAAGGGTCCCCCAAATGCTTATTGATTGGCTAAATCAACAGATGTTGCAGTTAAGGAATAGGTGATTTGGAGTATCTGAGAAAGCAAAGACGATTCCATCTAGGAAGGATTAAAATATTTCCTAGATCCAGAATGGGAATGTGAAGACCAGGAGGAATGGGAATAATGTCGTTTTCTAAGTAAGTCCGGATTAAGTATTTCCTGTTCTATCACAGCACACACCACAGTATGGCAAATGCTCGTTTACTTGATTAATAAACTCTTAGACTATAAATTCCATGAAAACATGCTTGTCCTATTAGCCACTCTATCCCCTCAATCCCTTCCACTGTACCCAGGCTCATTAAATACTTGTCAATGTTTACTAAAAATTGTTTAGTGAATGATTAAAGGAATGGATGAATGAAGAATTAAATTCCACAGGATCTCAGATCCTGTTTGAATCTGTAGAGTTTAGGAACGTATTCCTCTACAGATACTGAGGATGGAGAAGTAAACATGTAGATATCCATGTTAAATTCGGCCCTGGGGCCTGCGAGGAGCTTAGGCTCACACCCAGAGAGAATTTAAACCTCAGCACGGCGGGACAGAGGTGGCTCGGAGGCCAGGACTAGGGGATGGGGCAGGGTTCGGGCATCCGGAGGCGAGGCCGACTAAGTTCGCGGGGCGTGGCGGAGAGGAGAAGGGCTCCGAGGAGGCGCGAAGTCCCGGCCACCCGAGGCCGCGGCTCCCTGGCCTCCCGGGTGATGAGAGGTGGAGGGAGGGAGCGGGGCTAGGGTGAGACTGGCCGGAGGGCTGGGGACCCGCACGAAACGACTCCGGTAAAGGGAGGTCGGGAGCGTGGGACCGGTGGAGGGTCTGGGGTCGGTTCCCGTGGCTCCGCAGCCGCACTCACCTAGGGGATCCACCTTCGCCCCGGCTCGGCACCGGCTCCACGCTACTTCCTCCCTCGGCCTGCTAGGCTACCAGGCAGCCTCAGGCGCCCCTAGCAACCACGCACCGCCACGCGTGACCCGCGCACTCGGCCGCCAGCGCCGCTGCCGCCTGCCACTCACTGCGCGCGCCCCCAGCGGACAGACAGAGGGTCTGGAAGGAGAGGGCGGGAGGCAAGCGCGGGGAATCTCGGGGGTTCTGGGGCCTGTGGGGCGGGTCGTCACCTGCCTCGCGCACGCGCAGTCCGTTCAGTGCGGTGGGACCGGGCGAGCGGAATTCTGGGAGATGTAGTCCCGGGGTTAAAGCGCTGAAAGGCTCCATTCTGAGCGTCCAGGACTCTCCCTTTCTACTCTGATTCTACCTACTCCCTATGGACTGTTTTCTTTTTTAGAGACAGAATCTTGCTCTGTCGCCCAGGCTGTAGTGCAGCGACGTGATCATAGCTCACTGCGAACTTGAACTCCTGCTCAAGTGATCCACCCGCCCCCAGCCTTCCTAGTAGCTGGGACTATGGGCACGCCACCATGCTGGGCTATTTTTTTAATTTTTTTCTTAGGACAGGGTCTCACTATGTTGCCCAGACTGGTCTTAAACTCTTGGCCTCAAGTGATCCTCCTGCATCAGCCTCCTGGTCGCTGGGATTACGACGGGAGCCCCCACGCCTGGCCTGGACTCTTTGGCCTTGCCTCAATTGAAAATCAAAGGGCCCAGTCTCTGTTGAAGGATTTCTAGTAAAAGCCTTTGAGTTTGACCCCAGGAAAGGGGAGATTGCCCCCGATTCACTCTGCCTCCCTCTAACCCGCCCTTCCCTAACCCCAACCTATCCAGCGGGGCAAAATTAAAACCACCTGCCTGCTTTATGGGCTTCAAGTGTGAATTTTAGGAAATACTGACTCAATTCCTTATCTCGTTAGCTCCCCAGGCAAGACAGATCGTGCTACTATCTCAGATGTCCGTAGACCTGAGAGATTTGGAGATCTAAGAAAGCTGGAAGATGAAAGGATCTTTCCTAGGCAATTGGCTACAGAAATAAAGGGGACAAAGATAAAACTAATCTGATGAAAACAATCTGGACCAGAGGAAGGATCTCAATAAATAACTTATTTAGTCAACAGTCGTTGATGGATGCTAAAAGTATTAGATAATCTACGGGAGAATTTTACACTGAAGGATGTACACTGAAGATCACCTATATGTACTAATCAATCTTAGATAACGAAACATGGCACAGCTGTGCATTGTGTTTCTTGATGTGATGCAATTGCACAGAAATATTTATGAAGTATAGTGTATTTTTGTAAAAAAAAAAAAAAAAAAAAAGTTGAGTGACTCCAACTGAATAACACTACAAAAAAGCAATCAGACAAATCCAGAATGTGGGCCAATGTACAGAACAAATGACCTCTTCTTCCTTCAACAATTTCAGGGTATAAAAATGGGGGGAGATGTTTTAGATTATAAGAGATTTAAGAATATATTCAAATGTTGGCCAGGTGCAGTGTCTCACACTTGTAATCCCAACACTCTGAGGATCACTTGAGGTCAGGAGTTCAAGACCAGCCTGGGCAACATGGTGAAACCCTGTGTCCAACAAAAAATACAAAAATTAGCCAGGCATGGTGGTGCACACCTGTAGTCCCCAGCTACTCAGGAGGCTGAGGCAGGAGAATAGCTTGAACTCAGGAGGCAGAAGTTGCAGTGAGCCGAGATTGTGCCACTGCATTCCACCCTGGGCAACAGAGCAAGACTTCATCTTGAAAAAAATAGAAATAAAAAAAAGAAATATATTCCAATGCAATGAGTGCAGCTTGTTTGGATCCTGATTCAAACAAACTGTAAAATGACACTTTTGAGACTGAGAAACAAAAATTCTAAGTCCTGCCCCAACCAACTGAATGGACCCCGCCTTGGCTAAGGGGACGCTAGAGCAACCTTAAAAACTGAGTTCGCGGCTATGATGAGATGGGAGGTCCAACATGCCTCAATACGCCCCTTCCTTATTAACCTTTAAACAGAATTCTTTCCTAAGGAGTAAGCAGAAACCAGCTCTAGAAATCAAGAAAGGGATGATTCATTGGTTTTAGAGGCCAGAACCAGACTCCCTACTCTTTGCACTTTTCTTCCTTTTTTTTTTTTTTCCTTTTTTTTGAGAAGGGATCTCACTATGTCACCTAGGCTGGAGTGCAGTGGCATGAACACAGCTCACTGCAGCCTCAAACTCCTGGGCTGAAGCAGTCCTCCACCTGAGCCTCCCAAGCAGCTAAGACCACAGACACAAACAACCACGCCTGGCCAATTTTAAAATTTTTTGTAGAGACAAGGTCTTTATGTTGCCCAGACTGTCTTTGCAGTTTCAAAGTGAAAACTCATCAGTTTCACAATACATCCCTTCCTAAAACTGACCATCTCCAGATGGGTTTTGGAGGAGGGTGCACAGTGAGGGTTTTCATTTCCTGTGCTATACCTTTTGACATCAGAGGGCTGAAAACTGCTCCCTACGATCACGTGAATGCAGCCATTTTTTGAATATGCAACCCATGAAGAGGCATGAAGCTCAATTGTGCATGTACTTGTCTCTGTCATAATCATGACTCCTCCTATAGCTTATTAAATATGTATATTTAGCCAGCCCACTCTGTGTAAATTTCTGTTCCCTTTACCCCTCCCTCAAAGTACCTGCTATCAGCTTCTGCCAGAAACTATACTTCCTAGCCTGACAGAATGGCCACCTTGCAGGCTGCAACCCTTTATAAGAAATAAAGCTCTCCTTTTCAAATTTATGAACCCCAAGATTCTTCGTTGTCAAGACTATGGAAAAATCTGAATAAGGATTGGGAACATTAAGAACATAGCTGATGTGGTAGGCCCAATGGCTCAAGTCTGTACTCCCAGTATTTGAGAGGCTGAGGTCGGAGGACTGCTTGAGTCCAGGAGTTTGAGGCTACAGTGAGCTAACACTGCACCACTGTGCTCCACCCTGGTGATCCCCTCTCTTAAAAAAAAAAAAAAAGAAAAATAGAGCATAGACAACGTTAAGAAACTACTATTTATTCTCTTATTGTAGGGAGCTGAACGGTGGGCCCCCATAGAGAAGATGGATCTGTATCCTAATTCCAGGAACTTGTAAATATTACCTTATATGGTTGATGGCATTTAGGAAATGCCACCCCAAAATATGACACTTTGGTATGTTGATTACGTTGGACAAAGGGCACAAGGTAATAGCAGATGCAGTCGGGGGGTTGTCTGAGTTCCTCCAAAAGGAACTCAACTGGTATGAATCCTTTCCCTGAGAATATTATCAACTGGGAAAAATGAACTGAGATCACAGCAGAGGAAACTGGAGGTTCACACTGTGCCCAGACAATCACCTATTCTCCTGAGGGCTGCTGTGAGATAACTTTATTTCCTGAGAGACTTTTATCTACAGAACAAGACCACTTTCATTTACCATAGAATTCCTCCCCTCACCATCCCAAAACTTGTGTCTCCACCACCTCCCAGAAGTCCCAAGCTCCTATTCCTTCCTGTAGCTCAGGATGCTATATAAGCCTCGAACATCTGACCCTTCTTTTGAGTCTCATATTTTGTAGGACACTTACGTGTATGTACAACAATAAATGTGGTTTTTCTCCTGTTAAACTCTTTTTTTTTTTTTTTTTTTTTTGGTGACAGGATCTCATTCTGTTGCCCAGGCTGGAGTGCAGTGGCATGATCTCGGCTCACTGCAGCCTCCGCCTCTCGAGTTCAAGCGATTCTCCTGTCTCAGCCTCCTGAGTACCTGGGATTACGGGCATGTATCACCATGCCTGGCTCATTTTTGTATTTTTAGTAGTTTCACCATGTTGGCCAGGCTGGTCTCCAACTCTTAACCTCAGGTGATCCACCCGCCTCAGCCTCCCAAAGTGCTGGAATTATAGGCATGAGCCACCATGCCCAGTCTTTTTTTTTTTTTTTTTTTTTTTTTTTTTTGAGATAGTCTCGCTCTGTCATCCAGGCTGGAGTGCAGTGGCACGATCTGGGCTCACTGCAACCTCTGCCTCCCACGTTCAAGCGATTCTCATGTCTCAGCCTCCCGAGTAGCTGGGATTACAAGCGTGCACCACCATGCCCGGCTAATTTTTGTATTTCTGGTAGAGATGGAGTTTTGCCATGTTGGCCAGGCTGGTCTCAAACTCCTGGTCTCAAGTGATCTGCCCGCCTGTAGTCCCAGCTACTTGGGAGGCTGAGGTAGGAGGATTCCTTGAGCCTGAGAGGTCGAGGCTACAGTGAGCCATGATCAAGCCACTGCTCTCCAGCCTGGGAGACAGAGCAAGCCCCTGCCTCAAAAACAAACAAACACCTGAGTAACAAAAGAATAGATATGGTAGCTGCTCAAGTAGTGATGAAGTACACTGAACTATCCTCTACCTGTGTGTGTGTTCAAAAATTTCCAACTGAAAGACAAGATGTTCACATTGAACTTGTTCCCACCCATTACCACTCCACTGCTAGCCTTCTCCATTTCAGTTAATGGCAATTCCATTCTTCCCACTGCTCAGACCAAAAACCTTGGAGTCACCCTTGACTGCTTTCTTTTGGTCATACCCCCACCTCCAATCAGTCAAGAAATCCTGTTTGCTCCATGTTCAAAATATATTCAAAATCTGACTACTTTTTTATCACTCCATTGGTATCACCCCAGTCGCCATCCAGGACACCATTGTCTCTTGCCTGGATTATTATTACAATAGCCTCCTAACTGTTCATCCTACTTCCCATTCTCCCCTACCCTCATAGACATTCACAAGACCAGAATGAAGAGTGATCCTTTTAGGATGCAAGGTAGATCATGTAATTCTCTGTTCAAAAACCTCCAATAGATGCATCCTCCATTCAAAGAAAGAACCCAAGTCTTCACCAAGGTCTACAAAGCCTGCAACATCTGGCCCCCACCATTATCTTCCTGTCTCATTTCCTACTATTCTCCACCTTTTTTTTTTTGAGACGGAGCCTCGCTCTGTCGCCCAGGCTGGAGTGCAGTGGCCGAATCTCGGCTCACCGCAAGCTCTGCCTCCCGGATTTACGCCATTCTCCTGCCTCAGCCTCCTGAGTAGCTGGGACTACAGAAGCCCACCACCTCTTTTTTGTATTTTTTAGTAGAGA